CGAGGGCCGGATCTAGCTCCTCGCCGACATTCTCCAGCAGGAAGGGCTTCCCAAAGGTAATGGCATTTTCCAAACTGCTGAGGAAGTCCCGGTCGCTCAGCTTGGCCACCTCCAGGCTGTTCACCTTCTCCTGAAAGGCAGCAGGGGAGGGCAGGGTCCCTGCAGTGTCCTGCCCACCTTCATCCAGTTCTGGTGCATGGTACACCTCTCACTGGGCTGATTTAGCTCCCCAGAGCAGCAGAAATAATATCTTTTCTTGCTCAGCTAGTTTTTGGCTATTTTGGCAAGTTTAGTCCATGTCACCAGGAACTAGAGACAGCTCAATGAGGCATCAGGAAAGGGGGGGAACAGGGAGAAGATCCTTCAAAGAGCTATACAGAGCCCCTCACTGGTAACTCAGAGCTTGTTTGCCTGTAAAAGTGAGAGCAGGTGGGTGGAAGAAGCCCTCAGGGAGCAAAAGAGGAGCAGCTGCCTGAGCCTCCCACCTGACCCTTCAAAAGAGCAGTGGGTGCCTCTCTAGAGGAGAAGAAGAGTTGGTCTGTGTTCTCAGCACTCTGACAGCAGGGACTGTGCTCACTAGCCAGGTAATGCTACCCTGATCCCTTCTGTCCTAGGGACCCTAAAGGCTGTTATGGGAGATGCTAGTGTTGTTCTGTGTGTTTTAGGGGAAGGATGTAAGGCCTCCAGGATGCTACTGAAGAGCCATAGTGGGACTCTGATGCCTCCCTTGTTTACAGGAGGGCCCCTTCTGCCTTCCCAAGCAGGGAAATCCACCTGGGATGAATATGGATGGGGAGCCTGTCTGGTGCTGGGGAGGCTGGGCTGTGACAGTGTGGGGTCTTGCAGCTCTAGAGCCCAAAGCCTGAGGCTGCTCTGTGCATCTCCTAACAGACAGCTGCTTTCCCTGTCCTGGCAGACCTGGCTTTCCTCCTCACAGCTCTTACCAGATTCTTGATCCACTTGTTTGCTTGTCCTTGGGGATCTATGTAGTGAGTCCAGCGCTGGGAGAATTGTGTTATTACTCCATTCTCCACGGACAGGGTGTCGTTGGGTAAACCAGCAATCTAATGGGATAGCAAAAGGTGTTGGGAACACCTAGTAGCACAAGACAGCTGACCAGAGAGAAGCCCTTGCTGCCCTGGTCCCAGTGTGGTGGATAGGTGATAGTGGTGAGGGTACCTCTAACAGCAGCTGAGCCCAGAGCTGCAGCTCTGCCTTAAAGTGGCTGAGCCATGGGACAGAGCTGTGCTGGCAGAGTTAGGCTTGGGCAGGCTACGGCCACGGCTTTCCTCTAAGCTTGTGGTTTGTAAAAGGGAAGGAAGTCTTACAGGTTAAGGCTGATGCCCTCAGAGCTGCTGCTTGCCCGGGTTGCTGCCAGGTTCTCTCCTGCTCATTGCACAAGGATCCCTGGCAGCAATTCCAGCTCTACAATGTGGAGGCACTCAGTCATTATTGAGCTGTTTGGTTTGGGGTCTGTCCTTTGGTACAGGTGATCCTACTGAGTGGTGAGCTGAGTGTTTTAGCCTTTGCCTAAAGTGTTGGGTTTTTCTGCAACTTGCCTGCCAGGAGCGGATTTCCATGGGGTCTCCAAGGGTGCTGATCAGGTTTGGCTCCTTGGTGTGAGGAATATTGTTTTCTGACAGCTGCCTCAGCCACTCCTTGCACAGTGCTATGCGGTAGTGTCCCTGTCATGAGAAGAACCATCACACCTTTTAGTTGCAGCTAGTCTGCTCTGAGCATCTAAACCCTCTTGTTTCCATTAAAATGGGACCCTGTGCAGCCTCTGGTACAGAGAGAGATCTGGGAGGGATCTTGCACCCTTTTGCCCTATTCCTTTCTCCAAGCAGATCTGGCCAGGACAGCAGAGCAGCTAACAGAGCCCGTTGCAGGGAGCATTGCACACTTACTGTAAAAGGGCCCAGGTAGGCCACAAAGCCAGCTGCAATCAGCATGTCCCCAGTGATGTTGCTGATCTTGTAATCCAGGTTCTCTACAGCATCCTGCCAGCGCACCTTCTCATCAGCCAGGCTGTTTATGAGCTGTGGGATAAGTAGCACACGTGAGAGCTGTGGTGTAGTCTAACCTTGTGCCCTGGACCTGCTGCTCTCTGGATAATGCTGCAAGTGGCTTTGGTGACCAGAGGTTGCAGGGTGGCCCCTGCCATATCCTGAATTCTGTCCCCAGCTTTGAGCACTTAACCCTGGGATTACTGGGCTGCTCTCAGCTGTCCTGGAGACTTGTTTCTGGCTGAAGAAGCTGTGCACAGGAGGACAGCAGCTCTTCACACCAGTGTCTGGCTAGCTTAGCTTCCCCTGTCCTGTTGTGCTGCTGAGATCTGGCCAGGCAGGTTCAACCTAGAATTGTAGTGAGTTGCAGGCACACTTTGCCACTGTGCTCCTTGACCTGAAATCAGGTTGTCTTGCATAAAAAGGAGGAACCCAGCTCTGTCCCTTACCATATCGGCACGGCCCAGTCTCTGCTGACACTGCTCACACTTAATCTCCAGCTCTTCCTTCTTGGCCATGCAGATTTTGTACTTTGCTTGCAGCATGGCAATACCACCTTCAACCTCCTTCAGGTGATCCTTAGCTTCCTCAAGGACCTGCTGAGTGGCATGCAGGTCCTCTTCTGCCTCCTGCCAAGCTTGCTGGGGAGATACACAAGGAAACTGGCTATTCTGGGTGTGTGGCCAGGCTTGTCCCCAAAAAGCCAGAGACCTTGGAGCAAGAGTTGGTTTTCCATAAAACCACTAGCTGATACTGAGATTCTTCCCTGTATGACAAAGGTTGACCTGCCTAATGCCAGGGGGATGTTCTGCAAGACCAGGAATAAAAGAGGGGGTGAGGAGAGCATTTCTGCATAGCTCCAAAAAGCCAAGAGCTTGTGCCAGCTTATGCAAGTTCAGGATGTGGCCCACTGGTGAGCAGGAGGAAAGCTTTCTCTGCTTGCCCCAAAATAGTAATAAATAACTAGCTACACTTGGAGATGATTAAGGCTGAAACACTAGTGAGATGTGGGAATGCTTTTGTAAGTAGTTTCTGCTGAGCCAGGAACTCGGCACTAAGAACAAGCTATCACTTCTGTCCCAGCATATTCTAGGTTCATTTATTCTCATTTATTGTGTTAATGGGTTTTGAAGCTTTGGCTCTGCTAAGGCTTGGTCTGAATATTATGTCCTGATCTGTAGAAGGTGGTGACTCTAGCATCCCCTCAAGAAGGGGGCTGCTAGTACTGCGTTCCCTAACACCTAGAGCAACTGGGTCACATTGGCTCTTACCCGCTTGGGCTCCACAACCTTGGCCACAAAGTGGTACTTGTGCATGGCACGCACCCACTGGCAGATAGAGGTGCAAGCTTTGGAGACCTTGGCAATGGCAGCTGGCTGAAACTCCTCACTGTCAATGTAGGGTTGGATGGCCCTGATCACAGTGTCTGAAATATTGTCCTGCAAGGAATGGTGGGAGAGAAAGGAGATCGGTGATCAGGGTGCTAGACATCTCACTGAGGAGGGTGTCAAAGGGCTTTCCCCCATGGCTACAGCCTGCCCTGGGACCTGGCAGGGTGGTTAAGGCATTGCACTGGAGCAAGAGGAATCTAATTGCTGCGTGGCATGGGAGGCACAACTGTGGGACTAGGTAAATACCTTCTCATACCACTTCCATCCAGTTCCTTCACACAGAAAGAGCAGAGGGAGAGAAGGGGAAGACCTTCATGTCTCTGTCCTCCTGTTGCCCCAGGCAATGAAGTGCAGCCAGCTGGCTTGAGGACTTACAGGTCAAATACATCCTTGCCCTCTGTGCTGCTGAAGGGTGTTGCCTACAAGGAGCTTTAAGTGTCATTGCTGTGAGAAGGATCTCTGTGAGGCAGCACCTGATCCCTGGCCACAGCCTCCCTCTGCCATCACTTACCTTATCGTACTTAAACAGACTGTCCAGGAACTTCCCTGGGTCCTGCAGAAGGCCCCTGCCTGGCTCCCAGTAGTCATCCACCTTGAAGCCTAGTTTTTCTCCTGCCACCTTTTTGGGCTTGATTCCTTTCATAATGCAGACAGCTTCAATCACCATCTTCACACCAAGGGGAGGCCGCTGCATTGCTCGTACCTTCAAAACCCAAATAGAGAAAGTGAGTTGGCTTGAGAGATGGGGTGCTCTTCCCTCAGCTGGACCAGGGGAGACTGGGACCAGAGGCAGAACATTTAGAAGATGTGATGCACAGGCAGGAAGGACAGAGGGATTTGAAGGGAAAGCTGGTTATCAGAAAGGGCACAGAGCAAACTATAGGTAGGCTGAAAAAGCCTGCCCTGATGCTCTGATAGGTGTATCTTACAGGCTGAAGAGGCCTTGGCAAAGGAGCTAGATCTGTATGGCCCTGAGGAGGAGGCTGTATGGAGATGGAGCATGGGCAGGCTTTGTTCTGTGGGCTCTCATTTGTCTTGTACTCCACTGTAGCAATGCTGCACCCCATGAGCTGGTCTGCAGGACTTGTGGAGGGACTGCTTGAGTGTCTCCCCAAGCAGGCAGCTAGGAGGGCTGCTGTGGCACCCTTGAGATGGCTGTGGGTTTTTTCCCTTCCAGTGCTGACCACCCTTGCCATGTTCAACCAGAGATACACCCAGGCTTTACCACTGGACACAGTCAACAGAGGGGCAGAGTTTGTGGCAACGCTGAGGCTGGTCTACCCCTATGCAGACACCCTCTGTGAGAAGGACTTTGACTGGCTCTTTGACTGCCCTCAGACAAAGCAGTTCCTTGAGTGGTTCTGCAGCACGGTAAGTAAGGAGAATGTGCTGACTCCAGCTGAGGTGGAGGCCTACGATGCCCTCCTGGCTGCAGGCAAGCCCATCCTGGAAGGTGATGCCCTTGAGCAAGCATTGCAGACATGCTGCCAGGTCCCACAGCTCCCAAGCATGATACCAGATGATGAGGGTCCCTCTCTGGAGGCACTGCAGCAGGAGCTTCAGGAGCTGAAGGACTATCGTGACTGTCAGCTCTGGCGGCACAGCAAGCTGCAGGTTTGCATAGCCAACCTGCAGCAGCAGCTGAGGTATTTGAAGGAGGAGGAGAAAATGGTGAAGCAGGACTTGAGGAAGGCTCAGATGGACCTGGAAGCGGAGATCTTCCAAACCAGTGCTGTCCTGAGACAGATCAGCAAGGCTGCAAAGCAGCTGGCACAGTGGCTTGGGGATGTGGGGAAAGGCCGGCCACCAGCACTGCTGTGTGAGATGGATCTTGGCCCTTACATGGAGCTAGAACAACAGGCCACTGAAGTGTTCGAGAGGTTTATCCAGCAGGTCCTACCAGAGAGTGTCCAGGCTCCAGCTGCTCAGGGAGCAAGTGGATGGGGGGAGAGCAGCCGGAAAGTAAGGCTGGAGGCTGGGACACAGATGGACTTGGACTGTGAAATACTGGGAGGAAGAAGAGGAGCTCTGTATCAAGAGAGTGCAAAGACACCATTGAGTGTGGCACCAGCAAGTCAGGGAATACTGGCCCAAGGCTCAAGGGCAGAGCTGCTAGTGGAGGGGAGGAATGGGAGAGAGGTTTTAAGCATGGGGGATGAGGAGGAGAGAGATGGCAGCCAGGAAGCTACAGAAAGAATGAATGCCAAGCAAATATCGATGCTGAAAAGCCTTGGGACTGATGGAGATGACCTACTGGAGGACCAAGACAGCTCCTGGAAGGAGCTGAGCCGAATAGAGAAAGCACGTATCTGTGCCCGGAGGGACGTTATAGTCATGTCGGCAAAAGTGGAAGGCAACTGTGCTGCGCTGGAGTGGGCCCAGAGGACTCTGGAAGTTCTTGAAGAGAACCAGGTAGGGCTAGTGCTCCCTTTCCTCCACCATCCTTTGTTGCAGGGTCTGCCTGTGCTGCAGGCAGTCCCTCCTGTTGAATGCTGGAGCACAGCTGATGGGTCAGGAGGGGGTGGCAGAGCCAAGCAGCACTGGTGGTGCACCCTGACACCAGCCTGTCTTGTCTTCCTGCACAGCGTGTAGTCAAGGCAGAGCTCCAGAGTCAGTCTGCCATGCTTCAGGAGCGGATTCATACCCTGCGTTGTGACATCATGCAGACCCTGACCCACCAGCTGCCACCCTTGCTGAAAGCAGAGGCCCGCCTCTCTTGCCTGCCCATCCTGCAGAGGCAGCTTAGCCTGGAAGCTGCCCGTCTGCAGTACATTGCTGGTGGGCAGGAGCAGGTGGTTGCATGGCTGGCTAGCCAGCACAGCCGCCTGGATCTGCTGGAGCTCCAGCTGAAACGGGAGAGAAAGGAGCTGGACCAGAAGGCTGCTCAGCTGGAGGAGATGGAAACTGCCATGAAGGAAGCCCAGATCAGGTTGCAGGAGCAGCAGGACTACTACAAAGATGTTGGCTCTTCCCAGAAGGGTTGTCCACGCACATGGATAGACCCCAAAGACCTCCCCGCTGTACGGTAAGGGTCTGTCTGTGTGTGTGTGTGTGTGTGTGTGTACAAGGAACCAACTAGGTGTGGAGGAGGTGGCAAGAGAATGGGAGAGGCATGTGGCAGATCCAAGCTACCAGGCAGTCTAGCAGTGCTCTTCTGCCAGTGCACAGCCACTCTGACTCTATGGTGGTGTGAAATTCCCCAGAAGGTGGCATCTGCTTCTTCCTGGCTGGCTAGGGCCAATGCAGGAAAGCATGGCCTTAGAGAAGGGAACAAGTACAGAGAACAGAGGTTTTCCTAGGATGTGAAGGTGTAGAGGCAAGTCACTAACCATGAGGAAGGGAAGTTGGGCCAGAAGGAAGCACAAGCTTCTTGGAGCAAGAGCCTTCTCTGGTTGGGTGTCTTGCACTGACAGGGGCTTCTCAGTCCTCCCTGCGCAGCTCTGGAGTAGCTGGTGCTGTTGTCTGCCAGCAAGGAGTCCCTGACTGGTTCTTGAGCCAGCCTGGTCCTTTATGATGCTCCTCCCAGAGCTTCAGGACATGGCCTACTCACCAGGAGTGGCTGTCCTCTCACTGTTGCCTCACAGCTGCTTGCATCCCAGTCCCACAGTGCAGAATGTCCCCTAAGCTGTGTTCTTCCTCAGGGCTGGCACACTGCTTGCACCTCTGACTGGCTGTCCCCTCTTGCAGGCTCTGGGACATGCTGCTGGGGCAAGATCAGGAGAAGCATCTCTTCCGCAGCTACAAGGCCATAGCAGCCCAGTGCTCCCAGTTGGTTCAGGACCAGGGGGTGCTGGAAGCACAGCTGGCAGCACCTATGTCCCATCTCCCTGTCCTGGAGTCCTCCACAAAGGCACTCTACCGGCTGCTGTACAACAGCTCCAATCAGCTGCAGCTCTCCTCTCCAGTAAGCAAGCACTCCCGCTCCACCAGGCCTTGCTGGGTGGCACAGGGCTGTTGGAGCCCTTTGTTCCATCTTCCCTGGGTGCAGGAGGGAGAAATTACTGCCTCTCAGCCCACAGAGGGAGAGGAGGTTGGCCTGATCCCACAGTGAGGCAGTGACTGGCTGAGGGACAAAGGTTACTCTCGTTGTGTTTCATGTGTGCTGTTAAGTATAGAGATTATGGTGTCTTAGCCAAGGTGGACCAGTAAGCTACCTCTGTTCCCTAGACTGGGTGTTTGCAGGGCAGAGCCAGGCGGGTAGTTTGTTTCTGGTGGGCTGGGCTGTTTCATACATGGGAGCAAATCCCCCTCTTTCTGCACATTAACATGTGTTTGGGCTCTGCCCCTCAGGAAATCACCGAGCTGATGCAGCAACTGATCACCATGCAGGACAACCTCTGCCAAGTGCTGACAGACCTCCTGAGTGACTTGAAGGTCAAGCGCAGATCTCTGGAGAGCCCTATCCTGCAGACAAAGCACAACCTTTACATGTACTTCTACTGCAACGAGGATCGGCTGAGAGAGGTGGTGGAGGAGCTGGAGAAGCGAGTGTCAGCTTCCTCCAAGGGACAACTGATGGAGCTGCCCTGTGCAAAGGAGTAGGTCAAAGGGATGCTTGCTCCCTGACATAGAAGTGATGCCCTCTTTTGGTTGGGCTGGGTCATTAATCCTGGGCTGGGAGAGAACCCTGGTGGTCCTGGCTCCAGTGACAGGTTGCTTGGGTCATGGCCCAGCAGCTGGGCTTAAAAGGAGGGAGATGAAGACCTTCCTGAAGCTGGTGGGTGGGTTACATAATGTGTAAGAAATTGATGCATCTTGTGAGTGGCATTGGAAGCCTTGTATAGACAGGAGACTTTTCATGCCAACTCTACAAGGGGATGGGTGCTGGGAGCAAGTGGACTGACACTGTCTTTCCCCACCTTCTGGGGAAAGGAGTTTTGTATGTTTTGTGGGGAATAAAAAGGTCTGTTATACACAACTGCAGCGCAATAAGCCTTTCCCTCCCCTCCACAGCTGTTACACCCTGTGTGATGAAATCTTGTACTTGCTGAGTTTGCTGTCTTGGCTATGGGTTGTGACACTTGCCAGGCTCAGAATTACCCTCCTTTCTCTGACTATCCTATTTCGAGACAGTATTCATTGAAGTCACCCCACCAGCCGTTGCCTCTTCCTCTTCTCTGCCTGTGGTGGACACCTTTCAAGAGAATCTGCTGGTTTGGACAGTGTGCTGCTAGATCTGTCCCTGTGCTGTGCAGTCAATACTCAGGGTTGCATTGTGGTACTGCCTGCTGCCTGGCACCATGGGGCAAACCCTCTTTAACATCCTCTCTGGCACAAGTTGGAAACAACGTGTAGGAACACCTAGAAGCCAGTTGCTGTCTCTCTGCCCTTCAAAACTCTTTGCTTCTGAAGGAGTGAAGCGGAGAAGCTGCATGGGCAGCTGCTCAGACTGTGATCAAGGGGGATAGATGGAGATGCTGGAAAAGGCTGGGGATGCTGCAAGCCTATAGAAGGGGAATTGCTGCAAAGTGAGAGACTGTTCAGGACCAGACCCAACTCTGCCACCCTCCCCCTCAACCCAGTTACCTCTGTAACATCACTTTTGTTGAGGTTCCTCAGGCTGGCAAGAGCTGCGTCCAGTCCTGGGAGGGCTTCAGCTAAGTCCTTCTGAGCATCATCTGCAATGGCTTGGGCTGTCTGAGCTTTTACTTTGGCCTTCATCTCCTCAGCCAGCACAGCACTTCTTGTCTCTTCAGCCACAGCTGTGTCTATCTGCAACACCAGAAACAGCCTCAGAAACATGCTGGAGCCAGAGCACCCCTTTGGCTTGGCTCAGCACTGCTAGGTAAGGATCACAGCTGTCCTGGCAGGTCATGTGTTTTCTTCCAGCAGAGACATGCTGGGGCCTGACTGCTGGAGGGGATCCCCTTCCTGCATCATACCAGCAGGAGGTTTTTGTCGGCCTGTAGAGATCATCCACAAGCTCCAGCACTGGCTGTGTCTGGAAGGAATTAGCTGCTTTACCCATCTTCCTATTGGCACAGGGAGAGGATGCATAGGAATGCAAACGCGTAGGGAGATGGAGGAATAAGAAGATATGCTGAGGGTTTTTGTTTCTAAAAGTGTCACTGCTGCCTACTCCCAGGGTTAAAACACTACCAGGAGGTGTAAAGGGAATGTGGAATATAGCCAAATCTCTTGCTATGTGGCAGCATGGGAGATTTCAGCCTCTTTCCCCTTTGCATGCAGAGCTGTATGATATCAGTGTCTCTGTTCCCTCTGTCTCAGTCTGGCCATCTCATAGTAGAAGACAGGCAGGCAGAAACAAGGAGAGAGGGAAGGTAGTGACAGCCAACACAGGACAGCTCCGTCTTCTGTGGTGGCATGAGTGACTGTGTGTGACCCCTGAGGTCTGGGCTAGCAGGGCCAGGCTTCAGCTGCATCAGCTCCCTGGGGATGGGATGTGGGGGAACAATCCCTTTCAGGAAAAACAGTTAGGGCTTACAGCTGCTCAGGCTACCTGAGGATTGTGTTAGTAGTGTTGCCAGTCTGTGCTTGCAAGGATCTAAACCAGGAAGGAAAGCGAGCTGGTAGGTTGGCTGACTGACCCCTGGGTTGTGGTTTCAGATGGGCATGTGAGCCATTGCTTCTGCTAGCAACTGGCTGGTTGGTTGTGACTGGCCCCCATGAACACCAGAGCAGGGAACCCAGCAGAAGGCTGTTCTTCCTGGCACTGCTGCTCTGCCTGAAGACCTGCTGTGCTGTTCTGAGGCCTTTCCACTGTCAGATCAAGCAGGATTTCACACAATCCCTGCAAGGCCTCCCCAAGCCCTGTGTACTGTCTGGGCAGTCAGCCTTTGTTAAGTGCATGGCTGTCCAGCTGCAGTACCTGCAGTTGCTCCATGGTTGCCAGTGTGTCCTTGGCTGCCTGTGCCAGGAGAGGGCGGGCAGACTCCAGCTCCTCCTGCATCCTCGCTACATCCTCTGCTGTTTGCAGGAGCTGTGGGAGCAAAGCAGAGTGAAAGCACAGGCAGCAGCCACGGAAAGCCCCAGGAAAGGGCAGTGCTGCCCTTGTGGGTGCTCCCTGCCCAGTGTCACGCTATACAAAGCAGGGCTTGCCCTGGTCCCTGCTTAAGCAACAATCTGTTGCGCTTATAAACAGTGGCGGCCAACGGTGCCTGCACACAATGGGCATTACTTCATAAGCTCATGGCAATCTGTCAGCAGAACAATGTTGCTGTTACAAGGCTTTCAATTAAAAGGTTAATAAGGAACATCCTAAGAGATGATGAGCTACAGAGAGGTCTGTGGTCCACAAAGACTTTTAGAGCTGTTACAGACTCAAAGTCTGGCAGAAGGCATAGTTCCCATTTACTTTAGCATGAGTTTTCTCCTGTTACACAGGAGATGTGTAGGGCATTTCACTGCATTTCTGCAGCTATAAATACACTGCTCAGAGCAGGTAAGAGGGGCCCAAAGCTTTTCTGAGTGTGAGGGATGAACCTTATCCAGGCCACTTTTCATCCTGTTCTTGGCTGTCTTCAGTTCCTGTTTCTTCTTTCCAATCAGGGAACTGAAGATGCTGAGGAACTCTAGGTAGCTCTTGGGAGTGACATAATTGTGTCTAGCTAGCTCTGCTAGGTACACTTGGCACTTCTTTGTCACGCTCTGATGGATTTCTACACATACTTGAATCTATAAAGAGAAAAGAAAGAAACAATCTTCTTCAGTGCTGAACATGTGGTAGGCAAGTCTACATGATGCCCACAGAGAGCACAAGGGGCTTACAAAGAGCCTAAGTATACAGTAACAGCAGAGCTTATATATGTGTGTGGTCTTCAGCGCCATAGACAGGGTGACAGATGGACATGTCCACAGAAGATAAACAGTTCTGTATTTGAATGACCCTGCCATGAAACACTTCTGCTACAGGGTAGGACCTTTCTGCAGGTGTGTCCTGCATCCATTGTCTATGTGTATCTAGAGACATAGCCCGCTGAGCATACAGGAGCTCTGCTTTGTCGAGTGTGGCACCTACCATCCCATTGATATTTTCAGCACTGGCACCAAGATGTGGGATCTCATGCAAGAAGGAGGAGGCAACACACTGGAGGGCTTCAGCAGGCCACTCATTAAACCAGTTGATGGTACAGCAGTTCACAAGAGAGGGGAACTGTCTCAAGCGTGCGCGGAAGACTTCTCCAATAGGGCTGAAGGAAAGACATGCAGAAAAGATGTTACAACTAGCTATAAATACAAGGATAAAATACTTTTCTACTTCTCTAGAACCATCCTGAACTCTTATAGAGTAAGGAGGAAGGGAGTATACCCAAGGAAGAAGAAGGAGGGAGAGAAATAGGGAAAAAAAGTTCAGGCAGTGAGCCGTGTGTGTCACAGCTCATTCACTGGAAGTCCTGGATATATTCTGGAAGTATTAAGATGGTAGCAAGATGATGTTTTATGGGTCCCTCCCTAGGGAGAACACTTAAGGGGTAAGAAATAAATGTGATCTGAAGTCTATTTCAAACAGGTGAGTGCAGAAATTGCATCACCAGACCAAAATCATGGTCCTCACTCTTCCACTTGTACTTGTACTGAGAATGCGCTGTACCTTCTCGCAGCCCTCCTGCAAGCAAGCAAGCTGCTCATGGACTATGCACTAGATTAATGAGTAAACATGGTGCAACTGAGCCCCAAATTCAAGCACGATATTTTTTGTAATAAACAGCTCAATGGTGCATGAAGGAGGAAGAAGTGTGTATTTAATCATCTGGATCACATAATCATATTCTTAAGCTTTTCAAACTTCATCTTGATACCAGTAAAATGTAAAAAAAAAAAAAAGTACCTAGTCTTACGGGAATGTGGTATGCAAACCTTACTCCTCCTCCAGTCAGGGGCTTGGAAACAAAGGTCCCATGATAAAGTGATTCAAGGCAAAGGACAAGGAAGGAATAATTAACATTGACAGCACAGAGCCCTACCCCTGAACTGTACCTCATGCACAGGACCACGTGGATATTGCTGCGAACTCGTCCTGTGTATGCAGCCATCAAATTTGCCTTGGTAGGCTGCTGCCCTAGATCTCGAACAATGGGCTTCATAGCTGTCATGATCTGTTGTTGGTCCTCGGGGTTATAAATGTTGGGAATGTCACCTGAGTTGAGCAGGTTGTTGATGTCTTCAAGGAAGGATTCATTTTTAATCTAAGTGGATGATGGGGAAGAAAAAGGCAGTTTCCTAAGTCATAAGACAGTCATGTCTCCACATGCCATGGAGATCACTTCTGGATAACTACAGCCCTCAGCCTCTGTTATAAGAAATAATTTCTGTGATCACTCAGCTCCAGTAAAGCATACTCTGACCCTTGTCCAGTGTTTCCAATTGAACAGCCATGTTCATCCATTTCAGGTGTGGGGGTGTGTATCTGAGAACAAACTGCCTTCTGGCCATTCACTGTCTCCTTACAGACAAATTGAGCTCAGGGCCTTGTTCCCTGCCTCTCAGTGACTCGGCAACCAGACCTCAGATTGCTCTGGGTCTTCACTCCTCCAGCACAGAACACTTTACCACCAAGATAAAGCTCATCAGTGTGGGAGACAGGGTAATTGTAGGGATGTGTCACAGTCTGTAGGACGATCTCCCTCCAGAGCTACACTCACTTCTCCACCTTTGCTAAATCAGAAATACGCAGCATCTATCTACTTGACTAAATGCACCCTCCCATGCCCTTCTTCTCCCACATATGCTTCTCACTGCAGGGAAAGGGATGCAAGAACAAGCCGCATTTGACAGATGCTCGTCTCACTGCTTAGGGCACTGCCAGAAGGGACTTGGTTCCTATGATAATGAAGGCAGTAAAAAAGTCTATGGGGGACATAACCATGAATCCCAGAAGTTGGCCTAGTCATTAGCAAGTTACAATTTACAGTAACAAACCAACACTATCCTGTGGAACCAGCAGGCATAAGGCCCTAAATCTACTGGTATTTTTGAAAAGAAACAGAATGATGTTACTTAGGACTTTTAGTATCAGTGGTGGGTGTAGCACTTACTTAGCTTCAGGCAGCTGGGTCTAAAACCTTTGAGCCCACCAAACATTTGGATGGAGCTGAAAGAGGCTTCCTTGAGCCTACTCACATGCAGTTCTACAGTCCCTCCAGCAACAAATGCCCCACCTTTAGTTTCCCTGAGGCTTTTTTGTAAGATGATGAAGGTGGGCTACTTAAGAAATACAAGTTGTGCCTGGTTTGTATCAAGCACCTCAATCCTCTTCAGAGGAATTTATTGAGCTTAGAGATGTGTTTCTGACTCCTTTTGAGACGGAGTCCACCATGTTAATACTCTTGTACCTGTGTGTCTACGAATAGGAATGTCTTGGGTAGACTTTGAAGGCCTGCCTTCATCATCATCTTCTTCATGTCATCTCGCCATTCAGTCATGCCATAATTTTTGGACAGTTCGATCTGGAAACACTCATAATCTGCCCTAAAGGAAAGAGAAGAATGTGGAGTTACACTGAATTAAAATCTCCTCCTTTGTCGATCCTGAGTATGTGTTGTGGACTCAGGGGGAAGAAGACTCAAGCAAGTTGTTTCCTGCAATGAGGCCTGAGCACACACCTGTGCGTGTGCATGTTCAGCCAGCAACCCAAGAGCATGTTTTACTCAAAGCAGAGCTACCTGAGCTAGCTAGAAACCAGAAGTACAACTCCATGAGCTAACAGAGTCACACTGCTTCTTAGGCCCAGTGCATCAGATTGCAGAGGGAGGAACTCAACGTAGGTTTTTTTTTGTGATGCTGCCCTTGGAGGCTGGTGTGCCTGGGAACTGTTGCATTTCTCTAGGATCATGCCCTGTATTCAGAGCTGGAAGAATTTTCTTCCTCAGCCAACTTCCCTGGCTCTTCAAGTCTCTTCCTTTAGGCCCCTTGACTCCCAAGACTCACCAGTCCTACTTGCCAGGCTGACAGTGTCACTTGATCACTTGTCACTAGTCACTCCTGTCTTTGTTTCCTTGCTGCCTAGCCCCCAGTAAGAAGTCCCTGTCCCTCCCCCTGCCATGCTGAGTGCTCCACAGGCCAGTGAGTTGACATGGACCATGCTGCTTTTGCTCATTCACTGTGTGCCCGCAGCAGTAACCCAAGCTACTAGCAGGCAAAAAAAGTGCATGTTAACTGAGCCCTAGCTCTTGAGTGTTAAATCTGAAGAGTCAGCAACCAGAAAAATGTGTAACTAGTAGCAGGAAGGGCAGGAAAAGAGATTCTCTGGAGCTGCTTCACATTATGTGCATAAGAGGGCATTACTTACATGTGAGATGCCAGTCTGGTGAGAGACTGTCTCCCACTTCCCCCAACACCCAGGAGAAGAGCATTCCCCGGAGCCTGCCGCAGGATCCGGCTGATTTGGCAGATGTGCTGTATTGCATCCATGAACAGCACAAGCTTCAGCTCTGGGGTGTTGATTTGATTGTACTCCTCCAAGTAATCCTCAATCACAACCTTCAGCTGTGGATAGAGACAGTCAATTGTGGCTACCGGATAAAAGCAATTGTGAGGGGGTATGTTGTTGTCTGCTGGCCGTAGACAGGTAGAGAATTGTACTCCTCCTGGTCCAGCCATCACAGAACAGCTGCAGGAGCAGTCTCTCCTGCCCTTTCCAGGGCTCTCTTCAACAGCACCCTCAGGCCAGAACAGGAGATGAAGCATGAAGACATCTGGGATTTGGTCCTACCCCCTCAGCAATCTCACTGTGAACCTGGGCAAGCAACATCAGCTGGAATTCATACAGTGCTGAGATCCCTGCCTAGATGCCAAAGTCCTGTGTGCACCAATGAAGTGTGCAGCAGCTTGGTAAATCTGGCTGTCTTGGCTGTGCTCATCTTGGTGGGGGACAGGCCTACCTACTTTGCAGAAGAGGCTGGTAAGCGCATTTAATTACTAGTCCTTGTCACACAGCTATCACAAGAGGAGAGACGACAGGATAATCATCTGTTTCTGATAATGAGTGCAAAACACACTGCTCCTTGCCTTTGCTTAATTATCACTACCAAAGTACTCGTAGTATTTTCTCCAACAGGGAATCTGGCAGTAACACTAATTACTTGTAAAGGTCAATTGTGAAGTCTTTAATGGCAAAGGTAGTATTGTTTGGGGGCAATGTGCCATTTCTTTCCAGCAAATTTCACTTTTCAGTCCAAGCGCAGCTCATTTGGGAGATTTGGCATAGCAGGCTGCCCCCAGGATGGCAATGCAGAGGCAGCATGTTCCACCTCAATTTCCCATCACACCAAATGTAGCCATTATCTGTATCTGGGCTAGGATTTCACAGGAGAGCCCTCGGAGGGTTTTAACTTCAGACACCTTCAATTCAAGCAGCCTCATGGTTACTATTAACTGTTTTATTTTGTTTGCAGAAAACTTGAAAGATGTGAACATAGTTCATATCATCATGATTCCCAGGGTCCTTACCTCTTCCTGGCTGTCAATTGCTTTGTACTGTTTGATATGGGCACCTGGCTCCATGAAGTCCCCAAACAGAACTGGCTGGGAGGGGATGACCTCCTCAAAAGTGGTGCCTAACTCCTCCATCATACTCTTCATCAGGTTGTCAAACCAGGTCTGGTCCTCCTTGCTGACCAGGCGATCACAGAAGACCCGGCAGCTCTCGTGGTACCACAGTCTCAGCAGATGCAGTTTGTTCTGGTAGGAAATTGCAGCAAAACAGCCCCCATGAGAGAAGCAGAGAAGTATTAAGAACCTCACAGTCAGGAAAGATGGCTCCTGCCCAGCACGTGGCCAGCTTCACTCCTGCTAGAAGGCAGCTGGAGTGGAGAAAGAACTGGGCGGAGGAAGCTGCATTCCCTTCTCCTTTCAAAATCAGCTCTTGTCAAAACAGCTGCTTTGCAGAGAGCTCATTACAGCTTCAGCTAATCCCCCCTCTATTTGTCCATACGTCAGGCTTTCTTTGAGAGATTTAAATTTCATGTTGTTAGTCCTTATCTATCCCCCAGTTGGATTTAATTTTTACTGTTTTCAGAAGTTCTTGTTTTTTGGAAAGATCCTCTTACTTGGGTGTAGCACAGAACCAGGGTCCCAAGTACTTCCTGTGATAAGTCAGTCTCTACTGGCTGGGCTGGAGCCAAAGCAAGGCACTCTTTTACACAAGGAGAGCTGAAGGGGCAGAAGCCTCCATTGCTACAAGCTGGTAACAGGACAACACCTCTGCCCCTGTGTGGTCTCCCATGGTTCCATCCAGGCCTGAATGGCCACGCTGTGTCATACTGACTCCCTGAGGCCACTCACCTGCTTCCGTGACAAGGAAGGACTGGTGTGGTGGGGCAGGGCGGGGGTCTGTTTACTAATGGTACTAGGCAATATAGCCAAAGGGAAGGTCACCACATTCATTGAACAGTACCAAAACGCAGCTTCAACAAGAAATTGAGGCCTGTTTGTAGATCTGTCAATGAGGCCTTAACTGGAACATTTCTGGTCTTCCCCTGGGTGGCATGGCTGTGCTGATGGGAGGACTCACCTCAATCTTGCTGGGCTCAGCCATGAGCATGCCCTGGAACACCTTGGAGAGATCTCTCAGGTTGAAGGTGTAATGTGACTTTGCCGGTGTGGGCAGCAGCTGGGATGTGACGGTCAAATACACGCGGAGAGTGGCATCAACCAAGGGTTCATTCAAGTCTTTGACTGCAAGTGCTCCTGCTGCAGAGACAGAGGAAGGTGGAGAGGATGCTAAGGTGGTGACTCTGGATTGAGAAGGTCCTAGCAGTGCAGACACGTGGCACTGAGTGGCAGAGGTGGTGCTAGGACTTGGCCAGGAACATGCTTTTCTTCTGCTTTCTTATGCAGAGACTGTGGGAAGACCTGACCAGCACCTGCTCACTGCAGTGGACAGTTTGCCAATGAGTTTCCCAACCAAATGGAATCAGATTTGGGGAGGGAAGAATACTTCAAAACAATTCTGCAGTGTTAAGACTTCATGCACTCCAGGGAGAGTGGAGATACTGCAAGACAGGTAATTGGTGCCTACCCAAAATATTCCAGACAGGTTTTCCTTCTCCCTCCTTGCACTCCCATAGTGGAGTCTCAGCTACTCTTAAGCTAGAAGGTGTGAGTGCCCTCTTAGCTAAACTGCCTTGCAGTTCATTGAGCTCAGCAAATGCAAAGCTACTGAGAAATAATTTATTATGCAATAGTCTGGCAAGATTTAAACAGAGCTGCCAGCAAAAATACTTTTTTTTTTGGTTTTGTTGTTTTACTCCCAATTAAGCTCATTACACACACTCCTGGGGAAGCAGAGCACTGTGACACCCTAGAATTTTGCACTTTTTGGCATTATTTCCAAAACTTTTTTATTTCTTTTTAACTCACAGCTAGATGTTTCAGTGTGCCCTTGAGCTCATAGTCAGGTACTGATGCTTGTGAATACTGCAAGCACTTGGAAAGCTCTACTTTGCTTCTCTCACAGCTCACTATTCTCACTCCTTCCCACTGGCAGATTTGCAGATGAGGGCACATTTGCAAAGATGATCCTAAATTCCCACCCTGTCAAATATAAGAGGACTCATTTCACTCCAAATGAACCCCTTTTTCTGGGTGGCCTTAGCACCATGCTTACATCCACCCTGCTCAGCTGTCCACAGGCTGCAGCAGATGGAGAGTAACAGAAGGCTCTGCTTCAACAGAAGGCTGTTGTCTGGGCAAGTGTCTGTCTGCTGAAAGCACAGGTAAGCTATGCCATGCTGTGCCCATCAGCTTGTTCTGTTTACAGTCAGTCTCTCTCATCTTTCTGCTTTCACTTACGCACTGGGTCTTTGTAACTTCTTTCTCCTAGGAGACCAGCTAGAAAAAGACAAAAAAACTGAGTTACAGCTTTACCTGCTGAGGTGAAGGATATCTGCATCATCCATCACAAACAAAATCCTCTTTGAAAGGCCTAAGCTATATCATACCTTATGTAACTGTGACAGCTAAAGTTGAAGTTTAGCAGAGTTTGGCCCTGAGACTAAACAGTATATGAGCTCTCTGTTTGCTAAGATTCAAACAACACATTCCCAAAAGCATCTTCAAGTAACTAACACAAGTTAGAGCTTCCAACACTTTGATCAGATCACCAATATTAATTCCTCCCCTTCCAACCTCCATTATCATTGAGTTGACTTGCAGCATGAGGAGGTGGCAGTTGTGTGCAGAACTTACCCATCCAGCTGCCAAGGATGGTGGAGAAGATAGTCTTCTTGCTGCTCTCTTCCATCTCAGTGAAGGAGAGGTAGTTGAAATGGCGAGTGAAGCGTGGAGTGACAGCATTTCTTCCCCCTCCGGGAGGTCCCATGGCACAGACAAAATTAATATCTACCAGCTTCTTAAAAGTACCTTGAAGAGTGAAAAATCAGGAATGAATGCTAAGCTGTAGCTAAAAACCCTTGCCACAAATCTCCACAGCAGGTATGCATATCTACCAACAGGCTAACTTTTGCCAAGAGTATTGGCCAAGGGATCTGGGTCATACCAATCTGTTTCCTGTCGTACCAGCCCTGGTGGTCCATCCACTGCCGCAGCAGCTCAATGGGTGGCTGAGCACCATATTTCTCCAATATGGGCATGTTCAAGTCATCAATAAAAAAGATAAAGTACCGCCCAACTGGAGGCCCGAACACACCTTTCCGCCTGTAAGGACAGAAGCCGTGTAAGGACACAGGACAACTCCTGTTGCAAAGGTAGTCCTAACTTGATCCAAAAGCAGTTATTTCTCCAGAGGCTTCCTGGGTCAGCACTTTTAGCTATCCTTACACTTACACTCCATATACCCTTTTATACGGGCCTTTGCATAGAAAAGATCTGGAGCGATGTTTGAGGCACTGGTTTCTTTCCAAACACAGGAGTGAAATTTTGTCTACTTATGCAAAATGTTGATGAATAAATGGGTGCAAATAAATGCAAAGCTTAAGCCCATGAATCTGTTGGAAACTTCAAACCAGTGGCTGACCAGGGAGGCAAAAGGGAAGCTGTTAACTGTGGGGAGTGGGATTGGGGGTCAGCAACCACGTTTTCTTCCCTCATGAAGTTCTATAAATATCCCACACCAGGGTTTGCAGACACCTGTGCTGTGAAATGTAGTATTTCTGGAATAACTAGAATTGGAGCAACTTTTACAGACCCTCACTAATCCTTCTCACTTTCTTGCCATCATATCAAGTTATTATTGGCTCTCTCAATCCCAGCTCAGATTTGCTGTGTGTCCTATTTGTTATCCATAGCTGTAAGTGCTTGGGGCCCCTTCAGTTCTTGGGATGAAACTAAACGGCCAAATTGATAGAAACAACGTGAGCACGAGGATACTGCCTTTGCAAACACAGAAAGGAAACTTGCCTCTTATCCAGTTTGCTGTCAATGAGATCCTGGGTTTGGTTAGCGGAGGTGCGTGCTGAAAACATCAGGAAGTGCGTGATGTATCTGAGAGGCAAGTTCTTCAAAAGCTTGTCTGTAATTGTGAGAGTCTTTCCTGTGCCAGTGGGACCAATGCAGAGAACCTAGGAGCACAATCAGCAATGCAGCATAACCATAGGCGAACAGTCTGTGTTTCCCAGCTCTCTGACATTTGCTGGAGGAAATGCAGGTTACTGCTCACTTAGGCACTCAAAGGCTGGGAGAGGACAGAAGGCTCGCTTCTTCAGTAAGCACAGCTGTTCAACAGATCTCTTGGTGTGGAAGGAATCCAACTAGAGAAGTATGAAATAGAACTGTAGGAAACAGGTAAAGAGGGATGGTGATGGGCTATTGTCCTAGGTTACAGTGTAAAAT